TTTATTTATAACACTTCTGGATATATGATGTTTTTTGTTTTCCTACTTTGATCGAAGCAATAAAATTGGTTTATTAATGCAATATGATCGCAAAAAGATTCAGGCCGATTTCTGAAACGATGTTTACTGTTCCCCCACTACAGCTCAAGTATAAATTAAACCCATTATCGCAATCCCCAAAAAATTAAAAAAATTTTGCACCGGTTTCAAGAAAATTGTTTAAAAATTTTTTTTCTGATTGTCGCAAAACAAAAAATTGAACCCCATGGTAGCCATGCTCGGAAATTTATATCTCTATTTCATACATACTTCTTTAAGATTTGGTCCATTAATGAATGAGTAGTTCGCAAACAAACAGATAATCAAACAAACTACAGAATCTCATGTTAAAATTATTCAATCACTTCGGAGAACATCCTAACAAAAAATCAAAACTTATGGTCACCATGTCCGGAAAATTCAATCTCTATTTCATATATAATTGTTTAAGATTTGGTCAATTAATGAATGACTAGTTCGCGAACAAACAGACAATCAAACAAACTTTCTCTCTTTATACACTCGTACAAAAAAAATAGGGAACACTTCATGAACCCTAAAAATTAGGCTATTTTCAAAATTGGCGAAAAATTATCGTAAAAAAAATCTACAAAAGCATTTTAAAGCTTGAAGTTTCAACTTTAACGCACTTTCGGTGAATTTTTAAAATTTTTTTATTTTCTCTGTTGTACGCCTTAAAAAAGAACACATTGTTTTGTTCCTTAAAATTAACTTATGTTTGACTACTTGAAACTTAATTAAAAAATTTTTTTTCAAAAAATTCAATTAACGTTTCATAAACTACACAATTTTACCTACAAAATGCTTTTTTTTTTTTAAATTTTCCTACGATTTTTTTTTACCGATTTACATGACTTTGAAGCAAACCCTGTACTTTTGAGAAAAAATGACGTAACTCGATGAAGAATCATCGTAGAACAAACAAAAAAAAAGCATTTTAAAGCTCAAAATGTCAGCTTTAACGTGGTATCAGTGACTATAAAAAATTTTTCTGTCTTCCTTGTTTGGTGCTAAAATTAAAAATATTGATTTATTCCTTAAAATTACACATTTTTATATATAACACTGCAGTTTGATAAAAAAAATTTTTTCACAAAATTCAATACAAATACCACAAACTGTAACATTTTACCTACAAAATGCTTTTTTTAAAATCTTCCTACGATTTTTTTTGACCGATTTACACGACTTTGAAGCAAACCCTGTATTTTTGAGAAAAAAATGACGTAACTCGATGAAAAATCATCGTAGAACAAACAAAAAAAAGCATTTTAAAGCTCAAAATGTCAGCTTTAACGTGGTATCGGTAATTATAAAAAATTTTTCTGTCTTCCTTGTTTGGTGCTAAAATTAAAAATATTGATTTATTCCTTAAAATTACACATTTTTAACACTCTGCAGTTTGATGAAAAAAATTTTTTCACAAAATTCAATACAAATACCACAAACTGTAACATTTTACCTACAAAATGCTTTTTTTAAAATCTTTCTACGATTTTTTTTGACCGATTTACACGACTTTGAAGCAAACTTTGTATTTTTAGAAAAAATGACGTAACTCGATGAAAAATCATCGTAGAACAAACAAAAAAAAGCATTTTAAAGCTCAAAATGTCAGCTTTAACGTGGTATCGGTGACTATAAAAAATTTTTCTGTCTTCCTTGTTTGGTGCTAAAATTAAAAATGTTGATTTATTCCTTAAAATTACACACTTTTATATATATAACACTCTGCAGTTTGATAAAAAAAAATTTTTTCACAAAATTCAATACAAATACCACAAACTGTAACATTTTATCTACAAAATGCTTTTTTTTTAATCTTCCTACAATTTTTTTTTTACCGATTTACACAATGTTGAAGTTAACCCTTTTTTTCTTGGAAAATGACATTTACCGCCGACATTAGCATTAACCAATGTGCACCACGTGGAGGTTGTCGGTCAGGTTTTGCACATTGTGTGTGTGTGTGTGTGTGTGTGTGTGTGTATGTGTGTGTGTGTGTGTGTGTGTGTGTCACAGCAGAGATAAGGACTCCGCAGCTCGTCATTTCTACAGTATTTAAATGACTCCAAACTCTCTCTGCTGTGTGTGTGTGTACGTGCGCGCGCGTGCTTTTAAAAGTGTGTATTACCTGACCATTGCATTGCCCCAACTTAGGGACCCTCTCTAAATATATAGAGAGCTGGGCAAGCAGCAGCAATACTCTCGGTGGGTTGCCATCCCCATGACATCCGAGAGGTGGCGATCGAAATCTGACAAAACCGTCTTTGGTCCTAACCGGATTTGAACTCGGTTCTCCGGCTCACTAGACCAGCGCACATATCTCTGCGCCACGATCGCCATACGGCGCGAAGTTTGCAGCAAGACGTTGATTTTTAGAGATATGCGTACAAAAAGTTTATAAACACAGTACACAGCCAATTCTTGTAGTGTGAAAAACAAAACAAAATTTTGATAAGTCTCGCAGCGTAACAAGCGAATCAAAATTTTGTTTTGTTTTTCACACTACAAGAATCGGCTGTGTACTGTGTTTATAAACTTTTTGTACGCATTTCTCTAAAAATCAACGTCTTGCCGCAAACTTCACGCCGTATGCAATCACGTGACTTGTAATACGTGACTTGTGACAGAATCCCGCCAATATTTAAATCTCATTGAACACATTTAGGACGAAATGGAATGACGATTAAAGCAGCCATATAATCTGAACCAATTGGGAGAAGCGCTTAGGCAAATTTGACGCGAAATTCCACAAAGCGCAATTGAAAGATGCATAAACATGCGAGAGCGATTGCAAGCAGTAATTAATCAGAGAGAAGGTAATACACAATTTTAAAGGCACGCGCGCGCACGTACACACACACACACACACACACACAATGTGCAAAATCCGACCGACAACCTCCACGTGGTGCACATTGGTTAATGTTAATGTCGGCGGTAAATATCATTTTTCAAAAAAAAAAGGGTTAACTTCAACATTGTGTAAATCGGTAAAAAAAATCGTAGGAAGATTTTAAAAAAAGTATTTTGTAGGTAAAATGTTACAGTTTGTGGTATTTGTATTGAATTTGGTGAAAAAATTTTTTTCATCAAACTGCAGAATGTTAAAAATGTGTAATTTTAAGGAATAAATCAACATTTTTAATTTTAGCACCAAACAAGGAAGACAGAAAAATTTTTTATAGTCACCGATACCACGTTAAAGCTGACATTTTGAGCTTTAAAATGCTTTTTTTTGTTTGTTCTACGATGATTTTTCATCGAGTTACGTCATTTTTTCTAAAAAATACAGGGTTTGCTTCAAAGTCGTGTAAATCGGTCAAAAAAAATCGTAGGAAAATTAAAAAAAAAAGCATTTTGTAGGTAAAATTGTGTAGTTTATGAAAAGTTAATTGAATTTTTTGAAAAAAATTTTTTAATTGAGTTTCATGTAGTCAAACATAAGTTAATTTTAAGGAACAAAACAATGTGTTCTTTTTTAAGGCGTACAACAGAGAAAATAAAAAAATTTTGAAAATCCACTGAAAGTGCGTTAAAGTTGAAACTTCAAGCTTTAAAATGCTTTTTTAGATTTTTTTTAACGATAATTTTTCGCCGATTTACAGCGGTTTGAAAATAGCCTAATTTTTAGGGTTCATGAAGTGTTCCCTATTTTTTTTGTACGAGTGTATAATAGTAGAGATTTAATGTCGCAGTAAGTGAAACAATTAGGCGACACCAATTACATACATAGAAATTAAAATAAAATAATACAGTTTATTTTATTATCAATACTTATAGCTTACTATATTTTATGCAACACGTGCATGGAAAGATTGCGCACGCTACGCGTGCGTGATAGACCACTTTCCAGGCACTTGCCACATAAAATAGAGAGTGTAAGTCGTGTGTAAAGATGAAAATTCCCGGGTGCGGAGTTTACGCACGAGCCGAAGGCGACACAAATAACTATTTACATATATTCAAACTTTTACTTACAAATTGATAGGGTTATGATAACGCATGTCAAAAATTAGAAATAAATTTGACTGCTACTTAGCCGCTCAGTGCGGTTAATACTGAATGCACTCACTGAATGTACCTATTAACATGATCATACTTTTGCTTATTAACGAGAAATATAATTTTAAATAAAATTATAAATATGGGAAATAAAATTGACAATGTGTATGATTCGTATTTGAACCATCTAGATTCGAATAGTTCGGATTCGAATAATAGAAATTCGAATTCGAATAGTTTGTATGTACATCTTTATTACATACTTTTGTATTGCAATGGAAATATATACTAAAATAATGAAATTTGTCTTTTCACGAATTAACGAGAAAATTTCACGAAAATATTGGTCCCTTCAAATTGATGATTTTTTAAAGTCTCTCGAATAACAACTATCAGTAATGAGTCAAATTAAATTAATGCCATTTTTTCTTCGACAGAAAAAACAAACGCCACGCGTTCTAAACATAACAAACTTATTTCAGAAACGTTAACATTTAGAAAATTTCATTACTCATAAAAGTTCAAACATCGTAATACACATTTTTGTTGCAAGAGATCACGAAGGATAACCAGAATTTTAATTTTATCTCTCTCCATGAACATGACACACCTACGAACGTTCGGATATCTTTGGGCAAGGGTATACAGTTATATAATGCAAGGGACTTTATTTCCACGCGAACTCCCGTTTCCTCCGAAGGAAGGACTCCGCTACGGGTTCGGGAGTCGTGTAGGGGTGAGCAGTGCTGCGGGGAAGATTATTATTTAAACTACTCTTTCTCTCTCTCTCTCCCTCGAAGACACAAAGGATTAATGGGTTGAGAGTGTATGATACGCGCGTGCCTACCCCCCGTTGGGTCGAGCCGCGCCGAGCCGGCCGAACGGCTCCGCCGCTCTTGCGGCCGCGTCCCGCGTCAGTAATCTCGCGCGCGTCGTGCCAAGCGGATCGTCCCTGTGTCGTACGCTCGTCCGCGTGGTGCTCCGCTCCGAACTGCTTCTCCCGAGAGCAGCACCTACCTCCGTCTGGCGCGGTGGTTCGATACTCGTCCACCCGTGATCTCTGATCCACTGACTCTCTCTGCACGTAGGATCTCAGGTGAGCTTCGCGTAAGCCGACCAGCAGGGGAAATTACGGTCGCTCGGAGCGAACGTGACACCGAAATGTTCCGCGAACATTGGAATACGTGAGCTCGGCGACGGGTTTTTTTTTTAACATCGCTGTAGGTTACGATACCGTAAGGTAATTATACGAGAAATTGGGATCGCTGATTGGAGCTCCTGTATCAATTTTGTCCTGAATTATTGAAGTGGAAAACGCTCGTGCGCGCAGAACGTGAGGTGAATTGTTTTAATTTAATTTCACACAGTTGTAAAAAAATATTCCAGAACGGAAAAAGCTACAATAATTCAACAGAAAAAAAAGAGAGATTATATATCCCAGACAACACGCATGTCTAAAACACGTTGTAAAGACATATATCTAAGACATATTTTAGATATGTATGTCTGAAAGACGTTTTAAAGATATTTTTTATGACGTCTTTTAGACATGCGTGTTGTCTGATAATAAGAGATTTAAGTTGATCGCGACAATTTTTAATTTATACGCGAAAAAAATAGATCTGATACGCATAAACTGTAACTATCATGATTCTTGTTGAATTCCCCAACAAATAACATGTACGATATCTCTCTCTCTCTCTCTCTCTCTCCCTCTCTCCCTCTCTCTCTCTCTCTCTCTCTCTCTCTCTCTCTCTCTCTCTCTCTC